TTTTGATTTGCTGATCCACCTGTACCGATCTGCAGTGAAGATAGAAGAAAGTTGAGTGTCAGACTAGAGAAGTGTGGCCTGATAGTAGTAATGACAGGGAAAGTTGTTAAGACTGAACCACCAGTGGGGCAGATAGCTGACATACAGACCACTTACAAGTATATTGGTATCCCACAGTCACATGGAGAAATGAGGAGGAAGCATGGAAGACAGCAACATCTAAATATCACCAAAAGATAAGACAGGCCTTAAAGAGCCAACTCAATGAGAAGAACAAGAGCCATGCCCCCATATTCCTTGTCATCAGATATCCACTGGTATAGTGAGCTGGCCAAAGAAGAACATGGAAACTGCTGATGTGAAGATCCAAAAGCTTCTCACAATGTATGATAACTTCCACCCCAAGTCCAAAACCCAGAGATTGTACACCAGCCAGAAAGAGAGTGGGCTGAGTTTGGTGAGTGTCAAAGCCACTGTCCTAGAGGAAATCCTTCAGGCAGCAATAGACATGGGAGAAAGATCAAGAAGAGCAAGTGCCATGGCAAGATGAATCCCTGCACAGGATGTTCCATTAAAAGATAGCAGATGTAGCTGACATTTTACCACTGGTTGAAAAAGGCTGGATTAAAAGACAGCTCTCCATAGATGCAGGGGTCTACTACACTAGATACTGTAGGTCTTGAGGTGCAGTATGTGCAGAGAGGCCTTGGACACATTCCAACATATAGTGGCAGAGTGTAAGATACAAACAGAGATACCATACATTGCCAACATGTAACTGGCATTGTGCACAGAAGCATATGTACAGTGTATGAACTAGATGCTCTCAAGTCTAGATGGGAGATTCCACAGATGATTGTGGAGAATAACAGAGCTAAGATCCCATGAAATTTCCAGATCCAGATAGACACAGAGATATTGGCCAAGCAACCAGACTTTGTGGTAGTGGAATGGACAAAGTACTAAAAGACATTGGTAGTGATAGATAAAGTGGTACAGCAACATCAAGTATCCTGGTCTGAAGGAGGAACTAGAGAGGATATGGCAAGTAAAACCCAGCATTGTTCCAGCTGTGATAGGAGCATTAGGAATTGGTAGAGTGGCTCCAAGAGAGCCCAAGAACTACAGAGCTCTCTATCTAGAAGAGTGCAGTACTCAAAACAGCTAAGATACTGTGCTGCGCTCTCAGATTTCCAGGTCTCTGCTAAAGGACTCAAGTTTGAGGAAGACATATATACATGCATGCGTACACACACACACACACACATGCATACATACATACATACATACATACATACATACATACATACATGCTATGTATATGTACACATAAATATTTGTGATTAAAAGTGAGAAGAGGAATATGATCTGTTCTATTCAGTGGGACAGAATGGTGAATCAAAAATTGGATGGATGGATGGTTATGTTAAAAACTATTAATAATATATTTCTGGCTGAGTAAAACATGTATAACTGAATGAATAAACACATTAAGAGTTTTCTAAATGAAAGAAATATAGCTTGCACATTTGCAATATTGAAGCATAGGTACTTGTCATTTGTATAAACAATAAATCAAGTGCCAAGCCCTAAATTCCATCTTTATAGAGATACTAAGGGTCCATGTTTATGGGGGTGTGTGTACCTTTTTTGTATATTTTACTTTCTTTTTGTTGAAGTAATATCCTCTCTTAAGTCTGCTATTTATTTTCAAAGAATTTTCACATGTTAGTATTTCGTAAATTGCAAGACTATATTTATTTATTTAAAAGATTTATATAGTCATTCCTTTTATACTAAACTCTGGATGGCTGCTAATCAGGAATTAAACAACATCAATAAATATACAGCATAATATCTAAATATATAAAACTGTAAACATTAAAAATCTAGAACCAAAGTTATATTTCTGACTTATAGCCCCTCATAAAATCTCTTCATCAACCCCATCCTATATCAGCTCTTGGAGGAAAAGTCAGGTCTTCGGTGCATATTGTACATTGCACAAAATAAAACAAGGAAAATTGTTGATATCGTCAATCCACAAACTTGCCCCAAATCTGTGAACCAAAGCAGTGAGGCTAAAACCAATGTCATTGTATTTATTTTGTACAATGACAATAAAGGCTGTACTGTATTGTACTGTACTATATTATCAATCTTCTTAAGATCCTAGATACTTTATATCAGTAAAGCAAATAAGATCAAAGATCACAGTCTTCTGGTTTCTAGTTTGATGCCTTAGCCATTACACTAAATTTGCTCCCAATTTTCAGACATTGATAGTCACATTTAAACACTTCAATCTGGAATGGGGGAACTCCAAGCCCTACAAGAATGGGGTCTAGAAATTCATGCCATTTGGAATTTGTTCAGTCCTGAACATGTAAGAGATCAAGCATTGCACATCAATTCAAAGGAATAACTAATATATCACTTTGAAACAAAGTGAAATCATGCCCTATTTTCCTCATTTCCTAAACTGGATATCCCGTGTTTAGTATTAGGTAAGAGTTACACCATATTTTAGTCTAATATAAGACCTGCAGCCTTTTCAATAATATGAATTATTACATTATCAAGGAAAACTTTCTCGAGGACCATCCTAAAACCCAGGGATCAGATAATTATGCTTTAGGATTAATAGCTCATCTATTCTACTAAATGACAAATTCAGTGAAAAAAATACATTATGAAAATGACTATAATTTTATGATATTTTGTGACAGGTAGTGACCCGAGATGTAGGGTATTTAGTTTTTATTTTTATTATGAGACCTGAATGGGGAATTGTGTATGGTTCTCTTTCAGACCACAAACTTCATGAGCAGCATGAAAAAAGATGAGAGGGAATACACTTTATTTACTGAGATATGAGAGAGAAGCATAGCAGAGTTAAAGACCATCACAATTACCTGCCACAAATTGAAGGCTCTTTCCTCTTGCCAAAAGATAGATTAAACCTTAATATATTTATATATTACCAACACAAGCTATTTAGGATACTTAGTTAAAGAAAATGAAAATAAACATTTGAATAATGAATGAATAAAAACACAGTTTTAATTATTTATTGATCTGAAAATCCTTAATTATTTTAAAGCACTAGGAGTTATTTTTAAATGTGCATGTGGTGATATGGAAAAGAAAAGGCACATTTAGCACAATTAAATGGGTCTTTGTCCCACCACTGGGAACTGCACATTTATTTGACCCAGAAGATCCCCAAATGCTGAACATTTTGGTATGATGGAATAAAATAACATTTGAATTAAGTCAGATAAAATTAATTTGCAAAATGTCAGTAAGCAAAACAATTAGGTTTATTCTGCTTAATGGCTTTTTAACTTTGTCTTTGCTGAAATATAATCAGTGGTTGGAATGACATACTCTTATCTAGCAGTGCTAAAAAAGCAAACACAAGGTTATCTGGAGCGTTTAATAATAGAGATAATAATTCACTCTCCTTGTCAAGTTTAATATATTATATGTTGCTTCCCAGAATTCTCCTAGATTTTCTAGCCCAGTATGAAATCATGGGTAAATTTAACAGAATACAGTTCCTTTGCACTCCTTGATGTATAACCCTAAGCCTAACCTACATATGCAGATAGGAATGCAGTAAACATATAGACAGGAAATTGGTGCATATACCGGTGTGTGTGTGTGTGTGTATGTGTGTGTGTGTGTTTGTGTGTAATTTTGGAGATTCTAGATAAATTATATATTAGCCACCTTAAGCTTGTATGAGGGTGACTCATGTACTTTTGAATATATGTTTAGACACACTAGGACATTCTACACAGGGCTTCTTTGAAGTCAGTCTATTTGTATTTTGTATTTGTATTTATTGTCACTTATAGGCCGCCCTTTTCCCTGAGGGGACTCAGGGCGGCTTACAACTCATGGGAAGGAAGTGCAAGACAGAACATAAAATAATATGTGGGTACAAATAAAAATAGCAATAAAACACAACATTCATTCAACATTCGGGTGGGGTGTATGAAGATCTTATCCCCAGGCCTGACGGGATANTTTTTTTTAACTTTTGTAATATGTGTTTTTTTTAATGTTGTATGCTGCCCTGAGTCCTTGGGAGAAGAGTGGCATATAAATCCAATAAACCAAACCAAACCAAACGGTGACTGGATTTCCATACTTCGTTAAGTCAGTGGAACAACTTGCCTTTAATGTCTATGATATGAGATCCTCATCTAGGTCATAGTTCTTGAAAAAGCACCTTTGGGACAACTTACCCTTAATCAGTGGAACAACTTGCCTCCAGAAGTTGTGAATGCTCCAACACTGAAAGTTTTTAAGAAGAAATTGGACAACCATTTGTCTGAAATGGTATGAGGTTTCCTGCCTGAGCAGGGGATTGGACTAGAAGGCCTACAAGGTCCCTCCCAGCTCTGTTAACCTATTCTGTTACTCTGTTATAATGCTTACTATGAACACTGTCCCCAAACAGCTGAACTGTGTTACAGTTTGACTGAGATAGGAAAGACTGGTGAATCTTCTCTCCCAGTTATTAATAGATAAAAGGTTCAAAGCACAGGACAGCACAAATGTTATTCAGTGGAACTTCCATCCTTTTTAATTGTTATTCCAGCTGGGTGGGTCTAAAAAGAAGTGAGGCGCAAATATACTGATTATGGTGAGCCACCTGCCACTTATCTCTACAATAAATCCTAAATAGGAAAAACCAAAAGAACAATATTCATATACTCTATAACTTTGCAGAATGCAGACTTTGGACTTCCTTTTAGTGCTGAATTTTTGAAGTTGGAATGAACTATGTACACTCTTGGATATGAATTAACTTTTATCATGATATCACATTGAAAAGTATAGTGCGTAATAGAAAAACAATAAACTGGAAGGGAAACTTTTCCTCAAAACATTGCTCAAATTATGAAACATAAATGCAGTTGGAGAGCTTGCATGTTTTATAATTCTACTATTCATCAATTCATTTTTTTCTTTCTTTCTCCCCTTAGGTATCTCATGCAGTGGCTAAACTTGTATTAGTTAGCTTCCATTGGCAGATCTCAGAAATTTTAGAAAGGTAAGCTTATGATCAATTGGTAGATATGTGCAAATCACATTTGATGCTTTACTATGAAAGCAGGCACAAAATATTGTTTCTCTTATTAGACTCTTGTAAAAATGTATTTTAAAACCCCACCATTGGTTTGGGTTTGGGTTAGAGCCAAGGTGGCGCAGTGGTTAAATGCAGCACTGCAGGCTACTGCTAGATCAGCAGGTCAGCGGTTCAAATCTCACCGGCTCAGGGT